TGAAATTGAAATGGCGGCACAAAACCGCAGCGGCAAACGGAAACGGCAACGGCAACGGAAGGAAATGCAATACGATGCACATAGCTGCAAATAAGAAATTTCACGGCTCAAGGCGGCGGCGGCAGCATGCCAATTGCAGACACTGTACAAGGTAACTGTACTGAAGGTTGAGGTATTTTGCTGCCGCCCCAACAGGCATATTGATACGGCAGCTGCTGCAGCTGCAGTTGGCATTGACAACTCCTCGACAACATCTGCCCAAATTGGCAACCGCCGGCCAATTAAGAAACTTTCAACTACGTTTAAATTGCATGCCTTTAAATTAAAATAATTTAAAGTAGAGAAAAGCTCAATAAAAAAAAGAATTAATATATGAAATCTTAACAGGCCTCGAACCTGGAAACTTTCGTCTGCCAGGCGAATTCCTTGCCACTGAGCCAGCTCATTAGCCTAACGAAAAACAATACTGAGTGAGAGAGAGACAGAGATAGCATGCAAATTGAGAGAGTGTGAGTAAAGTGATATCATGTTCCTGCTTAAACCAAACAGATTTAAATTACTTAGTTCAGTTGTTAATGTGAATTTGAATCTAAAAATAGTTGCAATTTGACACCATTAGAAAAAGGACTCCAATTTATATTGCTTGCTGTGTAAATATTGTCTTACAATAAATGCGTACAAGCGCGTGCTTGTACATACGTACATATAAACATAGTCAGCCGCTTAGTTCAAATCCGTTATAATTTGCTATTCCTTTTTTCACTCAAATTCTCGCAAGCACAGCTTAGGCAAGCGAAAATACAGGTTGTCTCACTCGCACATATACAAACAGCATGCCACTCTGCTTTTTGGCTCAATGCATAAAACGAAAGCCGCTTCAGTTCTGATCGAGCACCGAAATAAACATTAATTGTGTTTTCATTGACAAGCAATATTTGTCTGCTACAGTGTCTTATACGTTAACTCTTATACATACATATAACTCTCATACACACACACATACACTTCTTTTATCTCGCACTCAAAGTGCTCTTTGTGTGCTTTTCGATTAACTACCATGTCAGCTGCATATTAAATCCATGGACACACTGCATATGTAGAGTAGAGAACTTGCCTTGTGTCCTCTCTCTCTCTCTCTCTCCCTCTCTGCCTGGCTGTACAGTTATTTTCTGTATTTCGAGCCAGGGCAAAGCTAGGCACAATTGTTCACGTGTCAGTTACATTTTGCAATGTAACCAGCACTAAGAAGAAGTAGCAGCAGAAGAAGAGGACAGAGAGGTGGAGAAGGGCAAGAGGTGAGCCAGAGGTTCAGTTATGTTAGCATTCAGGTGCATATGACAACTTTGGTAATTAAGGAATTATGTCATGCGCACCTTTGCGCTTGCCTGGCAAAGAGTTTCCACCTAAATCTGCTGTGCGTATGCGTGCATCTGTGTGCGGCCATCTGTGTGTGTGTGTGTCTGTGTGTGTGTTTGCTTATTTTTGATAGCTTTTTGGTTGCCTTGGCAGCGTTGCTTTGTGCAGATTTGTTTGCATATTGCAATTGCAATTGGCATTTAATTTTAAAAGTTTCCCGCAAGCATTTCGCAATCACATTTATCACAATTTTCACATTTGACTCTGGCAAAACTAAACCAAAATCCATGTGACCATGAAAAAAAAAAAAAAAAGAGGATAACCAAATAGTTGCGTTGTCAACAAGCTGATTTAATGGATGGAGCTGGGCACTCTTTTTTTTTTCTTCTGGTTAAATGTCAGGCACAGTTCAAAGTGCACGGATTAAAACAAAAAAAAAAAGCAGAAAAAAAAGACAACAACAGAAAGCAAATTGAAATACGTATTGAGCTGCAAAATGCCCAAAACTTTTCATGGCCTTTCGCCCGACACACACACACATACGCACACATACGCACACACACACACACACACTGTAAACTACCGCAAAAATGATAATAAAATACGTGTCCGGGTGCCTGGTGCTATCCGTGAACGCTTCACTGCTGTCATTGTGCGGGGGAGGTGGGTAGCCGGGGGGGGGGGGGGGGGGGGGGAGGGGTGCACTATAACGCAAAATCATCATTAAAAACAAAACGAGTCAGAGTCGTCTAGGCGAGTGTGCCTGACCAAGCGATACCCTGTATTTTGAGAACAAAAAGAAAGGCGAATTGAACTTTCTTGAGCTGAGCATGAAATTATTTCAAGAACTTTTTACAAGTTTAAGATTCATTTAGACAAAACTCAATCTAAGTTTTTCTTTGAGGAAATGCTGTGCTTAGCCAAGCTTAACTTTCTCTTCGCAGATTTATCGAAAATCCTTACCAATTATTTAGTAAAAGCCCCTCTTAACCATTTAATAGCTGCGGGGTATTGAGTTAAAAACAAAAAAAAAAAGGGCAAACTATGTGTGTGGGAGTTCGGAGAAAACAAGTTAACGCTCCTCTCGCATGGACAGCTGCCACAGCGTGCGTATCTGGCCGAGTCAGGTTAATGAAAAACGTGGACATGTTAGCTGAAAGTTGTTGCCATCAATGCAAACGGACGGGTGTTCAAAGGGGGGTTGAGGGGGGGATGGGGAGGGGTGTACTGATGCAGACGATGGTGCTCGGGCTGGCCCTTTTTTAGGCCATGCAAAGTGCAAAATGTTGTCAACACTTTAAAATTGAACGCACGCTATTAAATATTGAACATCTATGTTTAATCGATGCAGAACACATAGTTTTTACCATATGCAAGAGTTTTAATCAGGGCTGCAAAGTCAAAAAAGAAATTATCGACCTATCGGTTCGCGGTTTGAACCAACTCCAGCTAAACAAATGGTTTAGTTTGTGGTTCGCATGTTAATTGGGAAACTGGTTTCTTTTTAGGTTAGGTTCGTGCTAAGAATTAAATGGAAGTTCCGAATTTGAACTGGTTCGAGCTGGCTATCGTTTTATCGGCTCACGGTTCGAAGTAGGTTCGCACCTTGAGGCAATGGTTCACTTTGTGGTTCGTGAGTTATTTGGGGAACTGGTTTATTTTTAGGTTAGGTTTGTGTTAAACATTAAATGGAAATTTATCTTGTGAACTGATTCGAAATGGTTATCGGTTTATCGATTCACAGTGCGAACCAACACCTTGCCTTTACGCTCGATTCGTGCAGCGGAACCAATTCTGTTCTGTTTGTGGATGCTATTTGGGGAACTGGTTTCTATTTAGGTTAGGTTTGTGTTGGTTATCGGTTTATTGGTTCACAGCGAACTGGTTCCGTTCAATAACAACTTACAGCCTCAAAGCTCGAGTCGGATTTGCTCGTTCCTTGCAACAAAGTATATTTGATTATTTGGTTTGTGGCTTTTAGTTTAATTTATTTGATTAGTTGTTGCTCGTCGTGGCCCTATTAACATTTCCTTTGCAAGTACTCGTCGTCTGTCAATATTGGCCACAAAAGCCACAAAATTGTAATGAAATTCCGTCAGAGACGAATTTGAGCCAACGTTGACAGGGCACTTGTCCATTCGAGAGGCTCTTTTGCAGCTAATTGTAAGCCTATCATCAGTTACTATCTTTCATTCGACATTCGACATTCGACAGTCGACAGTCGGCATTGCGGCTAGTCGCACAATATTTTGCCAGGGAGGGTTACGCACCAGACCAGACCAGACCAGATTCCGGGGGGGAAACTGTTCCCAGCTGCAACCGGCCAGAGAAAAGCCGAGCCGAGTTGTTGCCAGGCTACGCATCAAGGACGGGCTGAGAGCCTTTCCAGCCTTGTCAGCAGCTCAAATTACCTGCTGACTGTGCGTGTGTGTGTGTGTGTGTGTGCTTTGTTTTGAGTCTGAGGTTAGCTCAATTTACTGGCAGTTGTGCGCCTGGTTTCCGGCTGTTTGCATTAATAACAAAACTCGTTGTAAAATTTAATTTTACAAATACAAGTGTGGTCAGTTAAGATTTTAGATTGCGATACAAAAGAATTACACATATACCCTATTTTAGTCGACTTGCACACGAGTGGAATATGGGTGGAATAAGGGATTTTCGTAAGATTTTAAGGTATTGTGGTGAAACATGGCTGCTATAAAAGCAGAGTATTAATTTATAGCTGTATGTAACTAATGCTTGCGTCGAGGGTTTTAGTCTTAATTTAGTCTTACAACATTTGCGAGAATTCAAAATCAATATATATTTGAAATTTTCAGAAATAGAGAAATTTAAAAAAATTTCTAAGATTCAAAAACTATCTTAGCCAGTGGAAGCTTCATATACTTGCCTGATAATTGGAGAGGCTTATATGAGCGAGTGCCTCAGGAAATGCAGCCACAAAACGCATTTTCCGAGACACACGCAACTTGGCCAAATTGAACTGTCAAACGGCCCAAAGACAGTTTGGCAACGCAATTGGTAGCAATTGCTGCGAACATGTCCTGGCCAACATTTCCAGCGAGGGGAGGCAGCTTATGGGAAATTAAACTGAAAGCGCTGGTGCGAGTCCTGGCTTTAGCCAAGCCAAAGCCTGTTGTGCCATAAATAAGAGCAATAGTTGCGACAAAAGCTCTGGTGCAAGTCCTGGCTTTAGCCGAGGCAAATGCTGCCGTGTCATAAGTACGTGCAGTGGTTTCAGCAAGCTTTGGTGCAAGTCCCGGCTTAAGCCGAGACAAATTGTTTTGATACCATAAGCTCTGGTGCCTGTCCTGACTTTAGCGTGGACACTGTCTGCTTTGCCATAAAAACGCGCCCCACGCTGGCGCCTGCGCCGGCAACAACGGGAAGTTTTGTTTTCGTTGCAAGCGGTGCCTGCAACATGTTGTGTTTTGAATGCTGTGCGGCAAACAGTTTGGCGGCTTTATAAAAGCAACACGCCAACGAGTCGACAAAACAGTTTACAACTTGTACGCAACGCGCGCGCTTCGCCTGCTGCATGCCACAAACGAATAGATAAGCAGACGAAGAATATTTGTAGGGCTAGCCTCTGTGTGTGCCTAGGCTAGAGTACGCGCCCCTCTACAGTCAAACAAACATACATATAGATAGATAGATATATACGTGTGTCAGTGACGATAAATCAGCCGCTTAATCAATCTCACGTGCCAGCGCGCAGTTGACCTTTCGCCTTTGGCCCGGCGCCGGCGGCTTTAGTTACCGTTACAGTTACCGCTACAGTTACCGTTACCGCTACCAGTTACCGTTACAGTTACAGTGTTTTACAGCTTTGGTGATTAAGTATACGCCAGGTAAGCCGCCGCACGAAATAACTAAATCTCTTTGACCTACTAAGCGACAAAAACAATGTGTATGTGCGTGTGTGTGTGCGTGTGTGGCTCAGCCTGGCCGTGAGCTGTCGTGCATTTTACGAGCGCATTAAAGCATAAACAACAACAAAAGAGCAACAACAACAATCGCAAAGCCTAGCACGTCCTGCAAGTGGCCAGGTGAAGCGTTTTTAAGGACACTTAATTCAAATTGTGTTTTCAATTGCCCGCTCGCTCCCCTCCCACCCTCTCCTCTCCTGTCCTAGTTGTGCAGGCGCCTGCAAATCTGCTTCAAATGCCTAATGAAAATTTATCGTAAGCGCATTAAATTTGTTGCCGGCACAAGTTTTGTGCCTTTTTTTTTGGTTTGGCACTCGAAAATCGAATGCTGCTGTTCCCAATGCTGCTCCCACTGCTGCTCCCACTGCTGCTCCCACTGCTGTATTCCCTGTTGTTCCCATAGCTGCTCCCACTGCTGCTCGCTCTCCCCTGTGCCAGCTGCCGCCAGGGGGCGTTCATATAAAGCTAAAGCGCCATGTTATGCATTTTTATTATGCTCGCACATGGCAACCCCCCCCCCCCCCCTCCTCTCACCATCTCCCACCCATACAAAAAAAGGGAGTCTGAGTTCTTTTTTTTTGCGGATTGGTAGTGCCTCAGGCCTTGAAGCATGTTTTCAAGTCTACAATAAATTCTAAAATTGTCAAATAAATATGAAAAGAAAAATAGAAGAGCAAAAAAATAACACGCACTTGCTGTATTTATGTCCCTTTACAATTTACATTGCCGTTTCTATAATCGGATTTTAATGCTGCACACGAGCTGCGAGCTGCGAGCTGCGAGCTGGGAGCTGGGAGCTCAGAGTTTCTATTAAAGGATGTAGTTATTTGTCAAAGAAAAGCTTTAATTCAAGCTATTTTAATGGCATACAATGGGATAGCGCCTTGAGGGGCTCTTAGAATTTGTGGCTTCCTCTTTGAATCCATTCGTAAACCAATTTATCTAGAATTCCATATTCTGGCAATTGCAATTTAACTTGGCGCAAAATTAAGTTCATTTCCTTGCTTACTCAAGAAGTTTTTATACTTATTTTGAGGAAATCAAAGTTGAGTTTTCTGCAAAATTGATCAATTTACTTATGAAAATAAAAAGCCTACCAATTTTAAGTCTATGAAATTCCCGTGAAATCTGAAACATATGAAAATTTGCTTTTTACAATTATTATTTCCTCTGTTAATTGCTTTCCCTTTCGATGGAAAGTCAATATTTCGACTGGCACAAACTGTTTGCTCTGCAAATATTGTGAATGATGAATTATGAATAATGAATGCTCAAGTTAAAGTCAGCTACATGGATTTAGCCTAGCTTTAACTGAGCCCCAAGGAGAACTCGACAGGCTTTTCAACTTATTGACTGAGCGCCCGCCCGTTCACAATGTGTGCCACAAACAAAAAGATATAAAAGGCAAGGAACAAAGAAAAAAAATCACAACGGCTTAGCCAAGACACTCACCTGTCGAGCCACACTCCCACACACACACACACACGCACGCATGCACACGCACACTCATAAATACCCAGTCATGTGTTTATGGTAGATTAAACGTTCTGCTGCCAACTGCAAATGGGGAATAACAAGCACATTCGCACACACACGCACACACGCACACGCACACACAGAAATAGGCACACACATAGCTTAGCATGTGGCACGCCTGCCGCCGGCTGATATTCTTCCATTTTCATACTCTGTTTACGAACTGAATGAGATTATATTAGTTTTAATGTTCTGCCTATTTGCCTGCCTGCCAGCCTGAAAGCCCTTTTTCATTGTTATTTTAAGTTTAAGCATATGAAAATATGCTGCTATTTGCCACGCCCATCATCATGTTCGGTGTGTCCAGTCTTTTTATATGAGTTTAGTTTGGTATTTTCTTCGTCTAGTTTTCGTTTGTTACAAATGGGACACCAAAAGCGCCATCTTTTGAGATGCTGCACTTTAATTATCATCGATCACTTGGTATGCCAAAAAAATAACAAGAAATGTTATATCGCCATGTTGTCTACAGTTAATAATTAGACTTTGCGTCTGGGTTTGAACTTGACTATAATTTAGCCAAGTTGCACAATTTCCCCAATAGGGAGCTCTACGATCTTTTAAAAGTAGGTATGCCCAGCTATTTACAGAGTATGACGCAGTAGGCTGCAGTTGACAGCTGCTGCTGCTCTCTTTTTTGTATATTTATTTCTTGTTTTTTATATATCTTTGAGTACGCATCTCATTTGCAGGCGCTGGGAGAAGACAGCTGCTCCTTTCGCAGTGATAATCAAGTCTAGACCGGAGATGCTTCTATTGCGGCACTTAGTTAACTTAGTTATATATCCGGCCAAGAGAGCAGCTGCTCTAGTCGTATACAAATTTAATTTAGACTCGCATTAAAGTTGTCATTGACAGTTATTAAAGATGCGACCACGCCTCATTTGTCATAGACAAAGGACAACTGTGTGCGTGTGTGTGTGTGTGTGTGTGTGCCTGTATGTGCCATTAATTATATTTGTGGCATCCACTCGGAATTGATAAAGCCTGTGTTTGACGCTGGACATTTTATTGTGGCCAGTCCAGCAGCAAGAACTGGACACATTTCCGCAACCTGAAGCTGGTAATTAATTGCAGTTGGCAGCAGCCAGCAGCCAGCAGCTTCTAATGCAGCTAATGAAGCTGCCCCCAAAAGGGCTTCGGTTTATTAATGAATCACGTCCGCTGAGTCACAGCCAAATACCCAAATACCCTATAGAATATTGCTGGCTGCAAATGAGCTTAACGTTCGCACACAATTTGCATATTACGCATACGCCGCGTGGCAGCTGCAGGTAAAGTAAAAAGAAAGGAAGGGAATTGCAATGCTTATGCAAAGTGCAAAGTGCAAATTGAAAAGGAAAGAAAACACAATCAAAAATGTTCAGCTCACAATATTTTTTTTTATTACTTTTATTTTCATGCGAATTAAAAGCACATAAAAGGTTCAACAAGGGCCGCCTACTTTAGTCTCTCAATGGCGACGCGCTCAAGCGTTTAAATGCTAGACAGAATCACACACACACACACAGCGCCCTCTGTGGGGCGGTCTCTTATGTGTGCACGCCCTAATGCGCCCATTTCCACTTACTTTAATAGTTTTTGTTCATTTTGGGCAGCACTTGGTAGGCAGCTGTTGGCCACACTCAGGCAGCGCGCAGTGCTGCTCAGTGCTGCCCAGCCGATGGCTTCATTGAAATCTCAAACAAAACACGCGCACACACACACACACACACACACGCACACATAGAGAGGCTGTTGTGTTTATGGCTGAAGCTGACGGTTTGAGCGCTTTTGTGGTCGCATTTGCCCTAAACAGGCATTGATTAAAATGCCACAAACATTTCATTGCTTGAGTTTACATTTTGAGTGAGCGTGTGTGCAAAGGTATTTGTGTGCATTAGTGTGTGTGTGTGTGTTCGTCTAATGGTCAGGCACACTTTTAAGCTTTTTCTTTTGTTTCTAAGCCAACAGTTTAATGAAATTTACAGTGTGCCCATGAGATTTGTCAACAACTTTGCCAACAGCCTGTGTGCGAGTGTGTGCGAGTGTGTGTGTGTGTGAGTGTGCGCGCCTTTTGATGGCACTTAATGACTACATAATGTTCATTTTCAGCTAGCTCGGGCACATTCCTGGAATGTGGGCCAGGCGAAAAGCAAACAGAAATTGTATTTTATTAAAAGCAATTTCAACTTGGCGACAAATGTCCACTTGCCCAAGGCAGGGAGAGAGAGAGGGAGGGGGGGAAACAGGCAAAAAGTGGTTTGAAGCACGTCTTTCAACTTGATATTATAATGGGCATAGTTAACAGAGAGAGAGAGAGAGAGTGAGAGAGAGAGAGAGTGAGAGAGAGAGTGAGAGAGAGAGGGAGAGAGAGAGTATATAAATTATGTATGCCCCAAATGCATGAGGACAATTTGTGTAATTGCGCAAAAAAGATGCGTGTTTTTCAATTTGAAACAGGAAACGCACACACGCACACACGCACACACACACACACACACGCACACAGAGAGATATTGAGATAATGGCGAAACTGAGCGCATGTTGAAATGATAAAGTGCTTGGAAATGCAGCTGACAGCGTGCAACCTAATTAACGGGACCCGCCGCTGCGCGCGCTGCTCATTAACAATGCATTTGCAACACGAACCGTTTATAATTTGATAATACGGACCGTTGCACGGGGCGATGCTTCGGCTCTCTATTTGCACTCCATCAAGTGGAAAATCAAAACTAAAATCACTAAGAAAATGCCAGTCGAGTGTTAACGACCGATCAATACTCTGTAAAAAGAAAAAAACTAAAGTTGTAAACAGTTGCAAATGCGAGCTGCTTGATCAACGAGCTGTTGACTCTACAACTGTAACTGCAAGACAGTGGCTGTTAAACTGTTAACAAACTGTGAAGCTAGATTTTATATGGCTCCATCTTTTGAGTAGTTCGACAATCAAGTTATGTGACTCTGGGCTTCAAATTGTCAGAGCTTTAGATATTTGCCGCCTAGTGGGCGTGGTCATAAATCTGTATGGTTTCGATCTTATCTAGTATTTATAAGTGTAGCAGGATAATCACACATAGCAACATAGATTTACATTCATACATATGTATATCACTCAGTCCCATTTAACATTGTCATTCACACAGTTTAACATAAGCCTTAACATTATCACGATATATAACATTATTGTCAACGAGAGAGTTCAGTTCTGTATCGCAGGACGAACAATAAAGAAGTAAAGAGAACTACGCTGTGTCTGATTTGCTATTCGGTAGAATAACAGTAAAGCCTTCCACATAAGGAATATATATATTAAGTCTAGAGGCTCTTGACTAAATAATTCCATAGCCATATGCTTTATTGTCGCTTGAAGAACAGAGCATAAGCTTGCATAGAGCAGCTGTCTA